CAACAGCCGCTTCGTGCGATCTTGCTACGTCCTAGCCGGACGCAAGGAACCTAAAAGCCGTGCGTGGAAAACGTAATTGGGACCTAAGCTTAACTTTTCGACATGATCAACAGCCGCTACGTGCGATCTTGCTACGTCCTAGCCGGACGCAAGGAACCTAAAATACCGTGCGTGGAAAACGTATTTGGGACCTAGGCTTTAAATACTAACTGAAGGACGAATACGATGAAAGCGTGCCACATATAGATAAACAATGATTGTGTGCAGTCGGGCAGATAATCAGATAAGCGGTTGGGACTTGGGAGATGACAATTAAAGCTGTCACTCAGCAGCATCGGTAGAGGGAGAGGTGGCAATTAAGGCTGTCACTCATCACCTAAAACGAGGCCAACTCAACTAACTTCCCTTACCCCAGCTGACTTACTCTAAGCATTGTGTCCTATTGTGTTTACCCTGTAATTATGTGCAATTTGCGATACGTAAGTTTATCCATATCCGTAATGTCACCTTCTCTGCACAAAACTGTACAATGGAAAACTAATTTTATCTTCTCGCAATTATCTTTAAATGAACTTTCATAACTTAAAAATTAATTGCTAACCTTATGGGCCAGATTCCTGTTACAGGAACACTTGTAATTACGGCTGTCTCAGCATCTAATATCAGCCGATCTCATTCCATGTGGAATCACATTCTATCCCATCATTATCATGAGCGCGCTAAAAACAATTGTTACTCAACACCGATGCGACAAACAAGTGAGTAGCACGTCCAAAGTAAAGAAATAAGATTTATCTATAAAACACTGCTCTGGCAGTAACAATTATATAAAAATGAACACAGTGTTAAGATTTTTTTGAGAATTTTCCTTGGGTACACTTTGACTAATGCCCATATAAACCTACAAATTAACCAACACACCGTAAAAGTATCTACCACTACCAAATTAAGCCATACCTACACTACAAGTGTTAGTGGTAAATACTCCTAGGTTAAATTGGTTAAATTGTGGGTTATGTGGTTAATATGGGTGTTAGTGCTAAAGAATCTGCCAGTAGTGTTAGTAAATTCCTAATTTTGTTATAAGGCCTACATGATTAAAAGTGGATTTTACAAAATCCAACATCACTTTGAGCACTGACTTTCAGGTTTTGCGTGATTCGAAACTTAGGATGGTTGACAGGAAGCAAGATTCATCAAGGAGTATGTGATAAGAACAAGTTTGCAGACATTAATTGGTGACAAGTACCTTTTAAAAAATCACAAAAATATATACTGCTTGAGCTGAGATAAGGTGGAGATAAACTAAGTTAAGCAATAAATATGAGTTTTAATTTTCATACTTTGTCACTTAAAGATTTTACCTTTATCTTCAAAAATATTACCTTCAGTGATGTGACTCTGTTCCAGTGGACATGTGTCATATTGTCTTTCACAAGATTCAGCATCTGGGGCAATACCATCTAATTTTTGAGATATGGGGTGAAAAAAATGATGGGAAATATTTATCAATAAAGCTCATATAATATGCCATATACATATGTCTAAAATCTTAAGTTATATATAATGATTACAGGAAAAATATTAGTATATTGAATAGGATTGTGATGATTATTTTAATTCCAATTTTATGTGTATTATACCAAGGAACCATTACCATTTAACACAGTTCAAAAGATTGAATAACAAATACCTTCACGTTTTCTTCTCTTGACACTGCTCTTGGATCCTGAATTTATGATAATAAGATGAGATAATAATTTATTGTCATATTCATACACGGTATAAAATGAAAATCTCTGTTATCTATCAATAAACTGAATTTGTACATTACATGTATTATTATTATAACTTTGTGATAATTAGTTTTTATTGGCAAAATTTTGTTTTATTTACAAGAGCCAGGAAAAGGGCTGTGGGCTGTATTGGTGATGGTGGTTGGGGGGGGGCATTTATTTTGACCTTTCTCTTTGTGACACCCGATTTGTGATATGACAACTAACCATTACCAAGTTGCAGTTGAATTTGATTTAGATTCTTAAAGCTTGAACATGTACCCCACCCCATCCAGCATTTTTCTCAAGCTAGGGCCAAGTGCATGTACCCTCTTGGATTTGAGCATGTGTCACTTCCAAAAAGCAGACTGTCCTTTACCCACCCCACCTCACCCGACCCAACTAGTCTGGTTCTACTTTTCATCATCTGACTATAGATGAAACGGGGCCGTAGCGATAGTCCGAAGGTTCAATAGTCCGAAGGTTCATTGGTCCGAATGTTCACTACAGAACCTTCGGACCAATGAACCCTTGATTAAAAAATCGATAAAAATGTTACCACTTTTCGGACCAATGAACCTTCGGACCAATGAACCTTCGGACTATCGAGACGCCCCCGATGAAACTTGTCACTCACTTAATTATGCCTTCTAAACTAAATAACCCACAGATTGATCAGGGCTCGACATTAGCGCCTGTCCGGGACAGGTAAAAATTCAGTTCAGACAGGTGAAGTTGCAGGGTTGGCTGTCCGATGGACAGGTCATGTTTTGTGAGAAATTTAGAAGAAAGTCTTTTAAAAAATCATTTTTTGTTGCATACTAACGTCTTTTATTCTCTTCCTAGACGGCATTGAAAAGAGTGACCTACTTTTGGCACAAAACACATGCAGTCGCAAAACGAAGTTTTTACTAGTAAACTTACTGCCAAATTATGAAAGAGAACACCCTCCAGAACTTCATCAGACAAAATTTATTCACATATCAGGTTCTTTACTGAATATTTATTTAGTTCAAAATCTACGTGCTCTAGTAATAAAGACTGTTCCAAAAACAGAAACCACACAAGTACTGTACTGGTTACAAAGCCAGATTGAACTGGATGAGCTGGCTATATCTAGTTCGTTGTCAAGGCAACATACTGCCTGTCAATCAAATACGTTGTATGCTATCTACTCACTTGAGAAAGTGAAATCTTTTGGACTAAAGATTGTTGAAATGATGTTTATTTGCCAAAATATAACCTGAAATTTTGTATGATGTTTTCTCTAATGACTCTAGCATCACCTATGTTATTTACAGTTAAAAATTAGTGCTGGAATATGATAAATTAACATTGCTGTCATATACCAGTGTGACATTGATGTAAGGAAGAAATTAGTAATAACAAATATTAAATAAAAAGAAGTGGAACTTTTTATACTAATTTTATTTAATTCATATATTTTTTAAAAAATCAAACACATGATAACCCCTAAAGAAGTTTAATTGTTAACATAAATAAAAGTAAAGTATTATAAAATGAATATTATTTAACTTTCATTGAACTATATTCAAATATTATGAATTTTGAATATTTTAATAAAATTAATTTTACAGTGCCCCCTCCTTACTTCCGGCTCAGAAGTAAGGAGGTTTTTTTGTTTGTTTATTTATTTTTTTAAGCTGTGGTTAAATTTCATGTGAATCTGTTATGCAGATTTACAATTAGTAGACCCTGTACCCCAAATTTTAGGAGAAGCCCTGATTGGAACTATGTTAAATCAGACTTATATGCAAGATTTAATCTTCAGGAGTTCACAAGTATGAAAAAACAACTATTTTTATCTGAAAAGGTGCATTTTCCCAGCTCATTTGATTGAGTATTTTGGTAATAAATACATTAAATGTATGACTACACATATTGATTTACAAAGTTCTAGGTATGAATAGAAAAAAAAATATTTGTTTTGTTGGACAGGTTGGTTTGAAAATCGGACAGGTCAAATTTATGACCACCTGTCCGAAGGACAGGTGGTCATAAAAGTTAATGTCTAGCCCTGTTGATCCCCATATTTATTACCTAAACTGCAGTTTCATGGTTCCATCTTAAAATTATTACTTGTTGTGAGCACAGCAAGTTATGAAAACCATATTTAGAAAAAATCCACATGATGAATTTCACCCTTCAGGTATGTCTTTTTAATTTTTCAGTTTTATGCCTGACTGTAAGCATGTATTCAAGACACTTGGTCTTTAACTTAAGTCATCTAAATAATTAACACCAAGCTTGCATGTCTTTAAGTCATCTAAATAATTAACACCAAGCTTGCATGTCTTTAAGTCATCTAAATAATTAACACCAACCTTGCATGTCTTAAAGTCATCTAACTAATTAACACCAACCTTGCATGTCTTTAAAGGACAATGTTCATGTAAAAATTCATTTCTCGAATTTTGAAGATACAGCACTCAATCTATATACTAGAGGTATGTTTTAATCGATCCCCGCCATTTAAAAATTATAAAAACAATCTATTAGTAGAAAAAAAGCGTTTTAGTAAACCTCACCTCAATATGCAAAAATGAAGCAACAGATCTTGGTCACGTGGTACTGTGACGACAATCACGATAAAGGTCTATGAGACTCAACTGAGCTCCATGGTTAATGAAAGTTGTGTTGAACGGAGTTGAGGAATTTTCGTTATGCCTCGGTGTGTTGCCNCGTTCTATTGTGTTTACCCTGTAATTATGTGCAATTTGCGATACGTAAGTTTATCCATATCCGTAATGTCACCTTCTCTGCACAAAACTGTATTTGTTGCCCTTTTTACTTTTGTCAAAAGTACATATTTTTTATATTTTTTGTATTTTGTTCTAACTTCTTTTTAATTCTGTCAACTTTGTCAAATTTTTGATGTCACCATTAAGAGTTTCATTTTATGTTTGTATTTCAGAGCAATGTTTTTATTATTTAAATTGATGCATAAGCAAGTAAATCTTTTAAATGCAGTTAAAATTATACTTTTAAAATTGTTTACAAATTTTATGTCAGGACCTAGTGCACCTCAGCATATTGCATTTGGTGACATATCTCCAACATCAATTGAAGTGCAGTGGCAGGATCCAGTGATGAAAAGAGGCATTCTCGTAGATTATCTTATCACTGTGACAAAAGCATCCAATTTGGAGGTAGTGAAGAATGAAACCCAAGATGCCAATGAAGCAAAATCATTCAATGCAACTGGCCTTGACCCATGTTGGGACTACACATTTAAAGTTGCTGCTAAGACCAGCAAAGGGTTTGGAAATTACTCCTCTGAACAGACCAACTCAACAGCAGTGAATAGTAAGGACCATCTTAGGCAATGTTTAATTTTGTTTCAATAAAATGTTGTGGTTCTAATTGCTGAATTAGACATTTTGATTGCAACTTCCCACTTCATCAGTAGTCCCTAGATGAAGAGGTAAGCACAGAGGGAAAACACAGCATAATGGAGGGTTACAATCATGTGACTACTTTCTGTTGTTTCTATTTATTTCTTAATTTTTAATGTGGATTGTAATATACTGTTCTGTTATTTTGAAATAAGTCTGGTTAGGTGTAGTTGGAATTAAAATCTGAGGTAGGTTGTTAAAATGTTTAGGTAATATAAGTATCAGTATTGAAAGTTGTGAAGATATATTTGATACTATGCCATTTCCATTAAATCAAAATGTATTTAATAGACCTTTGTTTGGTGATTATCTGCTCTTTATCCAACTTGACTTATCCTATCAGTCCCAGACACACCAGTGATAGTTAAAGCAGAAGCTACAACCTCAACATCCATCCTGGTGATGTGGACTCCACCACCAAATGAGACATGTCTCATAGACTATGTGGTTGAGATGACTGAGAGTGACGGCCAAAATTCTGTCAAGGAATTAATTAAAGGTAGTAAACCATTAAATTTAAAATCTTGTCAGGATTTTATTTTGATTGGATTGGGGGGGGGGGGAGTTTAAAGTGTTACACATTAGTAGAAATTTATTCATATTTTTCCATTTAGGAAGACGGCTTATGTCATAGCTTATAATTAGTGTAACATGAATACAGTTTCTGAAAGATATGACAGGTTTTTTTTCAAATTCAGAATATGAATTTTATAAAATTTACAACCAGGTTCTTCACCAAAATATGTTAAAATACATTTTTAGGATACCAAAGTACTGAAAAAAACATCACAGGCTTGAAAAAGTACTGGTCATATGATATAAAGGTGAAGGCAAATACCACAGCTGGACCCAGTATGCCTTCACCACTTATAACCAAAAGAACTCTGGAAGACAGTAAGTGAAATAGTTAATACATCATCACGATAATACATTCTGATCATGCATCATTCTGAATTGTTCTAATTGCTATGTTTTATTTGTTTTGATACTTTTCATTGGAAGGTGATTAATTGTAGTTAAATTGCTGTCATCTCACATTTTATCATTCAAATTGTTTTTCAATTTTAGCACCTGGTCCACCAGCAAGGGTGAATGCCAGCTGTGATGTCTGTTATAATAATATGACTGTGACTTGGGAAGCACCAACCAGAGAAAACAAAAATGGCATAATCACAGGATATGTACTCTATTACATATCCACTGATGGGAAAATATCTGTGAGTGAAGCAAAATTGTTTCATTATAATTGTAAATGATCTGTAACACACACAACTTGCATAGCAAGTGCTCATTTTGAAGAATGCCTATGTTGCTTCCCAGATGTAAATCCATGCAGGTCACAGTCTCGCCTTGTTAATCTTGCCTACAACATATACTCACATTATAAAGTTGATATCAGAAATTATTTATTATGAGGATTAAGAATCAAACATTTATTTTGAATAAGGCAAATTTAAGTTAAACTTAAGACTATTTTTTATTTTATAGAAAAATAAAGAAATCAGTGGCAGCCAGAATTCATCCACAATAACTAGTTTATCAGCAGAGAAAAGTTACCAGGTCAAGGTAAGATAAATTGTTTTATTCATGAACACATTCACTGCCACACGCATTTTATTTGAAGTATGTTATGAGATTGATTTGCCCATTTAAAATAAATGGCTTTTAAAATGTACACAAGAGGCCTGTCAGGAAGGCTTTTCATTTCAACCAATCAGAGGCTGCCACTTGACACTCCAATGGTTAGTTAGTTTTAACCAATCAGAGACTTTCATGTGACACTGACCAACAAGTCAGTTTAGAATTCTAAATCACAACAGACAGTTTTAAAAGGTTTAACGCTGGAAGCACACCAGCCTGAGGCAGCGCCTGGCATTTTATTGCCTCACAGCACCACTTTTATCGATCTCCCCTACCATCTATTCCATGGATTCTCATAACCACAGACTTTGAATTTTCACAATTACATACTTTTACCCAATTTAAATATATAGGATTCACTACAGGCTTTATGTTCCAGGTTGCTGCACGCACTAGTGTTGGTGAAGGGGAAAACAAGACAGCACCAACCAACGTGAAGCTGACATCAGGACGTGAGTAAAATGTCAGTTCTGTGGAACATATAACACTGGATTCCCAAAGAGAATAAAAACCAAGTTTGTGTGGTCTATATGCTGCAAATATTGCAGTCAGAAGCTAAGTATTCATCTGTGAACACAGCATTTTTATACATGTACCTTAAAAGTTCATTCATTTTAGCATAAGTAGTTGAGATATGACATATTAATTGATCTTATTGGTTATTTTTTGGGCATTCCAGCTCCCATATTCGTTGCCCTTGCTAATACTTTTGCTAAAGTATCAACCGCAAGTGTGGAAGATGCCAGAAAACAAATTTCATTGCAAGTACCCAGTTCTCCATTTGGCTCAGAAAACGGAATTGTGAGGAACATAAGCGTTATTGTGGCAGAAGACTCAGAGGCAGGTGTGTGAATGCTGTTTAAGGAAAGTGCATACTGTGATGTATGACATGAATAAAACGGCAAACACTATCAAATTCCCTGAAGTAAATGAAGTGAGACTATATTGTGTAATCACACGTTACTAACATTCAATCTTTCACAGATCACCAATAGTTTATCTTACTGTCATGTAACTTTCATTTAAAATTCTTCATAATATTCAACTTGAGCTTGGGGTTAGATAAAATATTTATGCCTCAGGCAGAAGGCATTATGTTTTTGGTTGCTGCCATCCATCCATCCAAAGTGCTTCCAAATGACGTTGTTTTCAACATAACTTTGCAATGGTTTGATCTCAGATTCTCAGGCTGGGGGACCATTCCAACAGATATTTGGATCGATCTATCTCCTTGGTAACAGGGATAAATAAAGCTATAAGGGAGTAATTATTTTTACCCCTTAGCTTATTCAGTAGGCATGACAGACATTTATGCCAGTTAAGTAAATAGCAAATTAATGATCCAGATGGATCGATCTAGGCATGGGAACCCAGTTTATGTATCTGCACGACCATAGACCTAGTTCATGTTTGAGAATGGGTAATCTTGACCTAATTTTCAAATTCACATATCCTCAAATGCATTATTGCTGTGTTTCACATAATTTTACACCAACTTGATCAAAGATTAAGTCTGGCATGCGTTTCATAACCTTTATGCTCTGGTGTTCCGTCTCCAGTATTTTTATTATGTACAGATACAGATGTGTCTGTACATATTGCCATCACCTGCGTCTGTCGTCGCCGATGCCGTCGCCGGCGCCGTGCACTTTCCTTGTAAACACGATAAGTGGAGGGCAGTTTTACTTTTT